CAAGAGCAATAGTTCTTTTCGTTCTTTTCGTAGACGGTGGGTCTCAAGTCAGTGATTTATGAGTGAGTTAGAATCATTTTTTCCAGGAAGGGTTCCATTAAGCATAGGTCCTCGCACTACGTGGGTCACGCACATTACTAAGGTATCTACAATTCTTAAGCAAAAAAGTTATCAGATTTCTGTCGATCTATTCTCTTTTTCATCTTATTTTCCTCATTTCTGTCTACAGCTAATAAGGAGGCTTCGATTTGTCCGATAAACAGAGAACTGATAAGAATTTGGCGTTCCTGAATCAGTCTGCCATTTTGGACTTTGTGAGCCGTTTTTTTTGCCCTGACAAGGTTTCGCACAGTTTGAAAACCTTGGACAGTGATGCTTAACCTAGGCTCTAAGCTGAATCAACAAACGGACTCGGGAAGTTGTTCATAGAAACGAATGCTTTTTGAGAGACTTAGATTTGGTCTGTGGAAACGTTTATTTACAAAGGCGTTGTCATCGTTGCCCGGTCAGCTTCGTGTCTACTGAGTTCCGGGCATCCAAACGTCTTTCTGATAGACGACTGGCCCTCGAGGTGTTGCATGTATCTCGCCATACTTCTCCGGGGTTCGCCGCCATGATACCATATACAAGACGACTCTGAAAAGCAGCTGTTGAATATGTACCATAATAAATTGGAGGTGGTAGCCTGACCTTGGGAATTTCCATCAACACTATTGATGAGTATCTTATGTTCGGTTTTGCCATCTGGCGGTAGTTCCTGCTCAAGTACGGCTTGTAATTTTCGGATGTATTCCATGGCGCCTCTCAGGGTGTCCACCTGAAAGTTGAAGCATTCAAATGGTGCCCACAATTTCTCCTTAGCCTGCGTAAACTGACCTTAGAAAGCTTTTTCTCGTGAGTGTTACATGGTAATCTTTGTCGGAGGTAGTCAAAACCGCGATTGATGCTGAAAAAGAATGCCTGTTCTTTCATTTTGATCTTCTTTCTCCTCCTGATTCTACCTGTTCATCCTTTTCCTCTCTCGTTCATTTGCCGCAACCCTTTGTTTGCCGGTGATCTCCATTCGCCGTTTCTTGTAAATCCGATCGTCTCCTTCAGAGTAGCAAGGTGATCGTTGGCAGTAGTTGTACGGAGGTAAGTTGTACATTTTTCTGGAAGAGGCTCAGGTAGGATTAATTACGAAATGAGCAGAATAGTTGAATGCGGTAAAGTAACGACGACAAATGTGCGGATTTAGTGAGGGTCGTTGAGAAGAAGTTAGTCTAGAGCGTAGTTGTTGTGTTTTAGTTTTTCATTTTTTTCCTAGCACTTTGCGCTCCCAGTTTGTAAGTTTGACTCCATTTCGCTACTGAAACCTTAGGTTAAGTCAAGTTTTTTTTTCTTTGAAATTTTGTCTTCGATGTACGGAGGGAGCAAATTGGCATGACAATATATAAGAAGGTAAAGTATGCAGTTAAGTAATATGCAATATATTGTGTGTATAGCACAACATTTGAAGTTCAGTAATAGTATACAGGGGTGGCCAAAAAAAGAGACACTTGACTCCACATTTCAGACAGCATTAATCACACTTTGCTAGAATCAAATCGACTGCCCCCAACTCAGTATTGAAGAGCACCTTCTAATCTATCTAAACTTACATGACAGCCTTCTACACCGACGACATCAGAAGATTTTCCCACGGAAACATGGTTCACGGTACGAGCTCAACGAGGTCGTCGAGGTACCATAGACCATTACGACGTCCCTGAAACGCTGGTCAAAAGCGGTTTTGCATAGTCACAGCTAATGTCTCTGGGAAGCTATTCAACAGTTAATCCATTGAAGAAATTGTGTAGGTAGCTTCAGGCCGGAGCGATTACGGTAAGCCTCGTTGAGCTCGACGGTGACGGCAGATGACGTCATATTCTGAGACGGCGGGGGCAGTGAAGGAGGGCCTGCTTCTGCTTACGGGGGAACACCTAAGGAATATTCGCCGTAAAACTTTCATTAACATCGGCACCCTGTGCGACGAAAAGTTCGATGATGTGCGCCATGGGCAAAGTGTCTCTTTTTTGGCCACCCCTGTATAGTTACAAGTTCCTGATTGACCTCATACTTTCAATGACGTCAGAAGACGTGGAGAGGGAGACCATAACACTGACCTCAACCCCATTCTATCCATGTTGGAGTAAGCTCGGGTGGGGTTAGAATCGTGGGTGGGGTTTTATTCTCTGAAGCTAGCTTATCTTTGCTCGTAAGCCACGGCTTTCCAGCAATTCCGGCTACTTCAGCGAATCTGCGATTCCAGTGGACTCAGCAATTTCAGCAATGGCGACAATCTAGTCGCGAAAATTGCTGTTGGTAAACTGGTGCCAGTCGCTCAAATCGCAAACGCTGGCACTGGCTAGATTGTTCAGGAGCCCAAAGTCGTTATTAGATGAAACAAAATTGCCAAGCGAAGAGTTTGGCGTAAGAAGCAAATTGCTCCCCAACAGGGCAGGCTTGAAAGAGCTAATGGGAAATGCGGGAGCCAGAGGTCTGGTGAAGTGAGCAATCGGATGCACATGGGAATCCATAGGTATCACTCAATGTTACTCATTGTCAGATTCAAATATTTGAAGTGTTAGTACAATGGAAAGAATTGTGATCATGTGCGGTGAGAAAGGTACCCTCGAAGTCACATGGGGTGAGACTAACCCATCAGTTAGATTGGATAAAAAGATTCAAAGTGGGAGAAGAGCTTAGTTAGATGTCCATCACCATTACAAAAGAAACGAATTTAAGTACAAAAACAAGTCCGTTGCTCTCAAAGAACAAAGACAAAACGCATCCGCTATCGATCCTTATAAGTGTACGCCATGCACTCTAATTCCGTTCAAAATCTTGATGGCGTTTTGAATGCGCTTTGCCCTGAACAACGAGCTGTAGAAGCCAGCTGAAGCTGTAGAAGCCTTAAAATCATCCCAAGAACTTGAAGGAAAACATGAGCGCTGAACGCATATTGAGATGATTGATATGTATCAGAATCTGCTTATGCTACCTCGAGCACTGGAGCTAAAGTGGACAGTTAGTAAGATTCGAACATCTCTTCTCTCATCCTCTTCGCTGTTACACCTGGGTATTAATTTTTTATGCCAGTAATGGGCCAAGCTTGGGTGAAAGTGCTGTAGTGGCAAGTGGAGTAGTTTACCACGCGCACTCCGGTGATCAAATCCTATTCACCCGCCGTCCAGGCCACTCGGGCTCGCTATCCAACCTGGGTTGGTTAATTGTTAACAGACTTGTATGGGAGAACAAAGCACCAGTTTGTGAATCGGCTGGCTTCCACAGCTCGTTGTTCAGGGCAAAGCGCATTCAAAACGCCATCAAGATTTTAAATGGAATTAGAGTGCCAGGCGTACACTTATAAGGATCGACGGATGCGTTTTGTCTTTGTTCTTTGAGAGCAACTGACTTGTTTTTGTACTCGAATTCGTTTCTTTTGTGATGGAGATGGTATATCGAAATTCTAACTAACTAAGCTCTTCTCCCACTTTGAATCTTTTTATCCAATCTAATTCATGGGCTGGTCTTTTTTCACTTGTAGCTGAGCGGCCCAATTTCGAGTCCGCTTGTTCTGCAAGGGTCATGACACAAGTGAAAAGGTGAAGTATACATGAGATTACGTTAGAGAAAGAAGAAATGACTATCCTAGAGAATCGCCCTTTTTTGTTGACAAAAGAGCATTTTTTTCACGGTAAATTTTCAAAAATAGAGAAGAGATTCTTTCGAGAGGTTTTCTCTTAAAAGGGTTTTGCTGCAGGGACTGATTTTGATCCAGAATTCATAAAACAATTGGAGGAACAACGAATGCAATGCAAAATGCGGTTTTAAGTCAAAATTGAGTTTGACAAAAAGGCTGCCACTTTGTCTCTGCGTCGGCAGAGTCAGAGATAGCGCTGATAAGGGCGGTATCGCTGCGTGCTGACGATGTTAAGCCGATTGTTTGGGCTCCATGTATTTGATAGATTCAACAAAGAGCGGATAGCTTCTGATTAGCGATTAAAAGTGAGTTCGGAAAAGGTTAGGCTAATCGAATCACTGCTGTATCCTTATTGTCAGAGTGTGAGGACCAGGTTTTTTCTGATTCATGATCGCAGATGAAGATCATCTCTAGGAGTGCTCACGACTTAGGTGGCTAGTAATTCATAGTTTGTAAGGGTCAGTAGGCTGGAAATTCAGTCGGTAAAATATGATAGCGACAAAGAATTGCAATGCTGCATGGAGAACTAATTGGTTGGATAGTGACAGAACAATAGGTGTGTCCTCATTACGGTAGCAATGGGCGATGGGTGTGCGCTACATGAGGTGTGTGGTAGCAGCCGCAGCAGATGTGTTGGGTGATCATTATGTGCGTAAGAGATTACAACCAGCCAGCACCCCATTATAGAATCGGATTCGATTACAAGACAATACGGCAAACAGTGTTTGAAAAATAGGGGGAACACTTCATAGCATGCGCTACTTGGTACTAGTGAGTTTTGTGTAAGTTATTTTCGGGGCTGCGGAGCTGGTCTTAAAATATTGGATGACAAAGAGTCAAAGTAGCAAATACGGTGCGCAGTATGCCAAAGTAATCCTTAACATGTGTTTTTTTTTCATTTAAATTACCACTATGGATTTCTTTGAGCTTGTTACGGATCAGTTTTGTTTTCTTTTCAACAACCATTAGTTCTGAAATAGTTTGTGAAATGCTAAGGACATGCTTCTGCGTTCTGAAGGAAAAAAAAACGACGGCCTCGTTGATCAGTTCCTTTGAGGAGCGCCACGCATGCGGCTTTCGCTGGGGATCGAGTTGTGCATTCAGCTCTCAGAATGACCTTTTCGATCCCTTGCTTAATATTCATTTCACTCGGATTGCTATATAGCACCATGAAACCAACGCTTTATCCACGTAACGGCTTTGACTAGCCATTGTGTAAGTACGTAGCACAAATTTTGAAAGGTATTGTGGAAGCTAGTTGGCAAGTGTGCAACAGTAGTTTGATTGCTGGAGCTTCGAGTCCTTTGAGCCTTTTGGAGTGAATTTTAAAACCTATTCTTGTTACCCTTCAGTTCACCAGGAGGTTTTGAAATATTGCCATATTCGTGGGATTTAGCCAAGTTCTTCTCCAAGTTCTCTGGAGAATTAACCCTGAACCTATTTTTAATCTGCGATGAATAGTCCGTGTTTTGATTGCAAACATTGGCTAACTTGTAGGTCCATTGCTCGATGTGCGGCATGAGTGAAATGCATATCAGACGAAGGGTCAGAAACCCCATATGAGTCTAATTTTGTAATTTCATTTTCTTTCCAATAATGAAGTGGTTCTTCGATAATTATGCTGATGAAACTCTATAGGAGTGAATCTGGAAGTACCTAAAAGAACAGGCTGAATTGCATTGCTGTTCAAAACTCGCTCTACTACGTACAAATCATAGGGGTTTCCTTTCTAGCAATTAACTTGCAATCAAATGAAGGATTAGAAGGGCGACAAGCAGAGAGCATGTGCTGTCGTGCGGTGGGTGCCTGTAGTGAAGTGGGAAAAGCATTGGTATCATTTCACCGGATGCATAAGTTCGATTTCTTATGGTTTTTCGTTGATTTCGGCATTAGAAGAACGTGATGGGGCTCTAGCGGTAAGAAATCCGCTGAAGTTCAGAGGCGATTGTTGTTGAGGCCGTTCGTTCCTATTTTGTTTTTAATTGAAGTCAAGCGAACAAATATCCTTGAGATCTCATGGTTCAGGTCGATTATTGGAATACTATTCCGCTTAATTACTCAATTTACATAGCTCTAGACCATAATTGAGTCCACCGCGATGAATGGAATACGAATGAATGGCGCATACCAGCAGCATGCCTAAGATTTTATCTTTTTCATTAAATATGTGCGACATTCGAGAGTGAGTTATTTTCTTTGTTTTCTTTGCATCTTCCATACAGAAAGGGTTTTCTGTAGTGCTCATACGAATATTTTTTCCACTTATTCATCCGCTTATTGATTTACTTTTTTTTCCTATAGGTTGCATGAGTTGCAAACCTTCCATAAGGCTCTGATTTAAACTTTTCTTCGTTCTATTCCTTTATACGAATTAGTTCATTTCGCTCTATTTCTCTAGCTCTCAATGGATCCTCTCCTCGTTCGCCGCTGTCTCGTTCAATTGCGGTCTTTATGTGCTTCAAGTGGCTAATTGTATGACCTGTGTGTATTGTACAGCAGTAGCAGCAGATTGCGTATTCATTACTTGAGATGTGTACTGTAAGGATGAGACTAGCGCAATACGTGTGTGGGTGAAAACACCCTGGTGTTGAGATCTATTGAGTGGTTCAATACGGAACACTTCTCCAGCTAAAGGTGTCTCGTTTATGGGGTCACTCTCGAAAAGCTTCATATATAATTGAACCAGCGTACTTCTAGCATCATTAATCTCCATTTCCCTGTTCACGTTAAACTGCCTTCTTGTGCTTGCTTCCATTTGCGAGGCTAGAACTATGGGGTTATGTGACCAAACTTTGAAAACACGACTGAGCCTTGGCGGGGAGAGAGGTTCTCCCCAAAGCTTCTGCCCTCTCATAGGCATAGTCCTAGAGGGTAAAGCTGTAGTTATCTGGGCACCAGGTTTCGGGGCTTTAGGGCGAATTCCATCAAAGTCATTCGAAGGCACGCCCCAGGATGAAAAAAATGTGGTTCCCACACATGAAAATGGAATGGTGCGAAAATGGCCGGCGATGAAGCAGAAACAAAAGAGTCCGTCAAAAACGCTGCACTTGAAGCGGTTGAAGTGGACTGCATAATTGAATCAGCGTACTTCTAGCATCTTTGATCTCCATTTCCCTGTTCACGTTAAACTGCCTTCTTGTGCTTGCTTCCATTTGCGAGGCTAGAACTATGGGGTTATGTGACCAAACTTTGAAAACACGACTGAGCCTTGGCGGGGAGAGAGGTTCTCCCCAAAGCTTCTGCCCTCTCATAGGCATAGTCCTAGAGGGTAAAGCTGTAGTTATCTGGGCACCAGGTTTCGGGGCTTTAGGGCGAATTCCATCAAAGTCATTCGAAGGCACGCCCCAGGATGAAAAAATGATGTGTTCCCACACATGAAAATGGAATGGTGCGAAAATGGCCGGCGATGAAGCAGAAACAAAAGAGTCCGTCAAAAACGCTGCACTTGAAGCGGTTGAAGTGGACTGCAACTTCCTTGTACCGTTGTTGCGCACTTTATAGCTTGAGAGAGGAACACCTGGGTCCTTTGTGAACGGCCCTGTCCTACCCACTGAATGGACCCGTCCATCTGAACTCATATGGGTTGTGCCTTTGAGAAAAATATCAGGACTATCACAAACACTTCAGCTTCTTTTTACAGGAATGTTTATAACAATGAATTAGACATCCCTTGGCCTTCTGCGCCAAATATGCCTCCATACGTTTCTGCAAATCAAAATGAAAGTCTGATTCCTGTCACTATCGAGGCCATGGTCCCATCATGACTTTGTTGATTTTAGATTGCGGTACTCTTGGTCCCTTCTTCAGAAAGCCCCCTAGTCTAGAGGAAAAAAGCACAAATCCACGACCATGTCTATGGAAGGAAGAGAGTACGTTCGCGACAAGATGCCAATTATTGGATTTGGCACCTACCAGGTTCGAATTAGTTATTCTTGCATTTCATCGTTTCCATAGAATCTAGCCAATCATTGGTAGATTCGACGTGAATCCGTTCTGAGGGATGTCGTGGACGCGGCTCTGTCTTGCGGCTACCGCTTCTTCGACACAGCTCAAGTATACGGTAATGAGGCGAAACTCGGTCGCATCTTCGATGAATTGCTACCGGAATACGATCTGGAAAGATTTGTTTTTAGAATTTTGCTATGTTTTCAGAAAAATTCCATAAGTTTTTTAGAAAAGGTTTATGGAAGGACTGACATTAGTCCACATCTTCCAAGCAGAAGCGTAGCCACGATATGCGATGACTTAGAGTGCGATGCTGAAGTGATGACCTTTGCTAAGCATCAACACACGATGCGCAATAAGATCCTTTTTCGCGTACTTGATGCATTTTGTGGCCAACCGTCGTTTTGCTGCAATTTGATTGCACACGAACTGCACGCCTCTATTTTAATATTGGAAAACTCGCTTGGAGAGCTAGAACAAGAACTATGTAATAGTTTTTTTTTGCTAAAGCGCCACATTTTCATTGACTCTCCTATTATAAGGGTAAGTGCGGTCACAACGGCAAAGGTAGTGTCGTCTCCTCGATTAACTGTTGTGACACAGTCGTCCGATGATTGCGACTAGCGTTGCAAATACGTTGATGTCTGCGTCTCGCTTGTCCCCATGCTCTCTCGCCCTGGACCCTTGAACTGTGCGCGTCAACCATTGTTCGAAAAGGGGTTTTATCTTCAGTGTTTCTGGCGGTTTTCCAATGTTGCGCTCACCTTCGCACTTCTAGCGCAATACCCACGACTAGATATTCGCGCTGTACGCCTTTGAGCTCACATTTTGATTGCGCTGAATTCGTTTTGAGAAGTCAAAGTGCGATAAGAGAGATCTGCATTCTCAAGATTATTTCAACTTTACGAAATCTGAGCGGGATGGGGATTATGTCGTGAACTAGAAGTAATTGGACTCAGGTCCTTTATATATTGACAACCCGGAAGACCACGTCATCTGAACACGGAGGTTTCACATGGCCTGCTTTCTTAAAAGGAAGAACGATGAAAAAATTAGCTCATTGGAAATAAAGGTAGCGGTAGTTAGGGGAGCAGAGATGGAGAAGCAGAGTCAACCCTGCGTTGCGCAGTTCTCAACGGCCACGTTGCGCAGTTTCGCCCGATTAGACACGTTCTCTCGCGCGAACATTCACACTCGCATGCTCGAGCCGTCTGTGTCTCCGCCCATACAGCGTGCGTTGAGGATCTCTCAACGTGCCGTTGCGAACTGCGCAACGCAGGGTTGACTCTGCAAGCCACCATAGAACTTCCCGAAACCCGTGAAATTTCAACTTCCTTGATGCGACTCTCATCGCTGTGCCCTCTTCAACACTACGCTCTCTCTGCTATCTAATCACTCGCCACGTATAGACCTGCGGCGAGTGATTAGATGGTCGGTGCCGCCCGCGCCAAGAGTGAGCCATGCTAGATCGCCGAGGTCAAATCTTTCGCTGCCAATTGCGCGTCAGCACCCTCAGGAGGTCCGCCTGTCTCCCAACTATGCAATTTTCCCCTTCTTTGACCTTCGTTCTTATCGTGAATTCCGTTAAGCTTATGACTTCCAAGATTTGAGAACAAAGAGGAAGGTTATTCGCTGCATTCGGGCGTTGCTCTTTTTGCCACAGAAACCCCAAGGGCATGGTGGGCTTGTCAGCATTAGCAGTATAAGAAAGGTACGCCTCGATGTGACTGAATCGATGCGATGAG